GAAAGGAAAGGAGAGGAGAGGAGAAAGGAAAGGAAAAGAGGAAAGAGGAAGGAAGGAAGGAAGGAGAAAGGAGAAAGGAGAAAGAAAGAGAGAAAGAAAGAAAGAGAAATGTTGATACACGCTACAGCATGGATGGATTTTGATAACATTAGGCTAAGTGAAAGAAGCCAGACACACAAAGGCCATATATTGTATGATTCCATTTATATGAAATGTCCAGAATAGATAAATCTGTAGAGGTGGAAAGTAGATTAATTATTTTGTAGGGCTGGGGGAATAGGGAGTGAAAGCTTAATAGGTATGGGGTTTCTTTATGGGGTGATGAAAATATTCTGGAACTAGGTAGTGATAATGGCTGTTTAACTTTGTACTAAAACCACTGAATTCTATACTTTAAATGGGTGAATCGTGTGATATGTGAATTATATTTCAATACAGCCATTATTTAAAGAATAAATCATATCCATTATAACCGTCCTTTCCCATCCCTTCCCTCCACCAGTCAAGGTAAGTAGAGCTTGACAACTGCCTGGCAACACCCACCACTCCCAAATTCCATGCTTCATTTTGTGATAGTACTTTTTCCCCTTCAATACTAATTGAGATGATCATTTTAACCAGATTTTTTAAAAGAAAAATGCTAGGGGTAAGGGCTGCAGAGAACTCACTTGTGTTTTGACTCCAGGCCGAGATTCCACCTACGGAGGATACTGATGAGGCTTAGAACAGAATAGACAAAAAGTCTTTGTCCTCAGGGAGCTTACAGTGAAAAGAGAAGGCCCAGAGGGTATGTGACTGATTTTGCATAAGGTATCTTTTAAGGATTGTAGCAATCCATTCTAACATTCTATAGAAGGAAGCCATTCTTCCATCCTAGCTACTGATTCTCCAGACCTTGACCATCACCCCTACCAACTAGTGTTCTGTGACTGGACTATCAACCACTTGCTGCCCATCTCTCTCCTTCCTCTCCTCTTATGGATGCTAGCTACTTCTTACAAGTCAACTTTGGCTGTGGTGGCTTTGGAAGCTCAAACTTATACCCTAGCCTTATATGGTTCAGAGGGGTTCTGAATGCTGATAAAGATGACAAGAGCTTTTAGACTTATTTGTTATTCCTGTTGGAGGTAGGGGTGGGTGAGGAGTCAATCTTGGGCCACCCTTTCCTACAGAACTTTGGTTCTGCAAGAAGAGGAAACTGACCCCGAACACCACCTAGCATTCAGAGGACAACCTGGAAGTATCACCTTAAATGATCAGTCCTTGGGAGATCAGTGCTCTTAATGGAAAAAGGGTTCCCAGGGCCTTGGAAGCCTCCTGACTGTCAACATTTCCAGTGTCTCTAGTAAAGGGCTGGAGTCTGGAGATTGCCTGAAAAGG